AAGAAAAAAAATCATCAAGGAGCTTTATGTATAGAGATAGAGACAAAATCACAAAGTACATTTCATAAGATTCAACCAAAACTTCAAATTGATTTTAAATCAGTAAAAATAATTTTTGCAAGTTTAGTTTCACAATTCATGCCATTTTGCAAGACTAGTCTCAAAATTCTATGCACTTTTGTAAGATCAGTTTCACATGCACTTTTGCAAGACCAGTTACAAAATTCCAATACTTCTGCAAGATCAGTTTTAAAATTTCAACATTTCTGCATGATCAGTTTTAAAATTCCAGCACTTATGCGTGATCAATTTTCAAAATTTTTTGCACTTCTCAAGTTTAGTTCAAAATTCTATCACTTCAGCAAAATTAGTTTCAAAACTTGTAGCACTTATGCATGGTAAGTTTCAAAATTTTAGTATTTATGTAAGATCAGTTTCAAAATTCTTGCCTCCAAATCAATCAAAACATCAAATTCAAATACTATATAAAAACAATACTAAACTCAAAAACAAAAAATCGTTCTTAGAAAAGAAAAAGGACACTCATAAATCTAGGAAATAATATAAAGAAGAAGACAAGGAGGGAGAAAGAGAGAAGTAGGAATAAGAAATAAAAGAGAATGGCAAAGGAGGAGAGATTGAAAGAGAGAGAAAATAGGAAAAAAGAGGAGTCGGGAGAGAAAAAAATGGACGAAGGAGGAGGAAGAGAGAGAGAAAAGAACGAAGAAGAAAAATGAGGAAAGAGAAAGAAATTATACAAATAAGTTGATAGAGGAGTAAAATTGTATATGAAAAAACAATTAAAAAATAAGCATGACATCACTCGCCACATGAATGAGTATTGTCCCTATTTGAAATAAATAAAAATGGCAAATTACATTTTACCCCTCAGTTTTAGGGTCGATTTCAATTTCTTACAACATCTTTAAAACATTTCAATTTCATACATTTACTTATCATTTTATTTCAATTTCATACATCCGTCAGAAAATCCGTTAAGTAATGATGTGACAAATATGGAATCCACATTTATGTTAACGTGCTGCCAAATTTGTGCCACGTGGCAAAAATAATAATTTTTATGCATTTAAAATATAATAATTTACCCTACTTAAATAAAATAAAACCTAGAAACCCATCTTCCCCCCGACCCACCTCCCTCTCCTCCACTCTCTTCACTTCCCCTCCCATCCAAAAACCCACCCCATCCCACCCCACCACCACCTCCCTCGCGACCCCCCACCCCACCCCACCCACCTATTTCCGGTGACTTCCTCCATCTCTTTCTCTTCCTCCTTCTCTCATCCTAACCTTGAATTGGCTTCAATCAGACCCACGAGATGTAGCCAACAACATCGGAAGGGAATTTTGGTATTTGGCAATCGAAGGAGTGTTGTTCTTCCTACAAAAAATCTGGGTTTTTTGGGGTGGGGGTGGGGGTGGGGGTGGGGGTGGGGGGGGGGGTTGCGGGCAAGGTGGGGGTGGGGTGGGTTTTTGGATGGGAGGGGAGATGAAGAGAGTGGAGGAAAGGGAGGTGGGTCGGGGGGAAGATGGGTTTCTGGGTTTGATTTTTTTTATTTTTAAAGTAGGGTAAATTATTATATTTTAAATGCATAAAAAATTTTTTTTGACCATGTGGCACAAATGTGAATCTCATATTTGCCACGTCATCACTTAACGGATTTTCTAACATATGTATTGTCATATCCCGGCCCGGGGCGGATCATTTCCCAAGCCTGCTCCATCACCGTAGCACGATATTGTCCGCTTTGGGCCCCGACCACACCTTTATGGTTTTGTTTCTAGGAACTCATGAGCAACTTCCCAGTGGGTCACCCATCTTGGGAGTGCTCTGGCCTCTTTCTCGCTTAACTTCGGAGTTCCTACGGAACCCGAAGCTAGTGAGCTCCCAAAAAGCCTCGTGCTAGGTAAGGATGAGAATATACATCCACCCCCTTTAGGGGCCCGACGTCCTCGTCGGCACACTTCCGATCAGGGATTAGCTCTGATACCATTTGTCACATCCCAGCCCAGGGCGGACCACTTCCCGGGCTATCTCCATTACCGTAGCATGATATTGTCCGCTTTGGGCCCCGACCACGCCCTCACGGTTTTGTTTTTGGGAACTCAAGAGCAACTTCCGAGTGGGTCACCTATTTTGGGAGTGCTCTGGCCCCCTTCTCGCTTAACTTCGGAGTTCCTACGGAACCTGAAGCCAGTGATCTCCCAAAAGGCCTCGTGCTAGGTAGGGATGAGAATATACATTTAAGGATCACTCCCCTGGGCGATGTGGGATGTCACAATAAAGAAGGAGGCCAGAACACTCCCAAGATGGGTGGCCCACTGGGAAGTTGCTCGTGAGTTCCCAAAAACAAAACCGTGAGGGAATGGTAAGCCCAAAGCAGACAATATCGTGCTACAGTGGTAGAGTGGGCCCGGGATGTGGTGGACCCGGGCCGGGATGTGACATGTATGAAATTGAAATTGATCCTAAACCAAAGGGGGTAAAATGTAATTTGCCAAATAAAAAAGTTTGGTTTCTCTCCAAAATAGTCTCATAATTTGGATGTATGTGTAATTGTAAGCTTTAACTATAGAGACAAAAACACAAAATACATTTGATAGAAGTCCACTAGTTTTGAATCATTCAAGGAGAGACAAAACTACAAACTGACACCATTTATAAAACTTCAAACTGATTTTAGATCTGTAAAAATTAATTTATGCACTTTTGCAAGATCAATTTCTTAATTCAAGCACTTCACCAAGACCAATTTAAAAAACTTATGCACTTTTACAAGATCAGTTTCACAATTCATGCAGTTTTGCAAAATTAGTTTCAATTTTTTCTGCACTTTTGCAAGATTAGTTTCAATATTCCAACACTTCTAGAAGAATAGTTTAAAAAAAATTTAGCACTATTGCAAGATATTTTTCAAAATTCTAGCATTTTTGCAAGATCCGTTTTAAAATTCTTGCTCTTCTGCAATATCAATTAAAAAAAAATTCATGCATCCAAAGGGTCATGCAAATTTAAGAAAAAAAAATATTTTTTTTAACGGGTCGGGTCACTTTACCCGTTGGATAAAGTGACCCGACCTGTTAAGGACCCGTTAAGATAACGGGTGTGACACGATACGACCCGTTAAGATAACAGGTGTTACACGAAAACGACACGACCCGTTTGCCAGGCCTAATCCAAATCAATCAAAACCTCAAAATCAAATCTTTCAAAAATACTAAATTAGAAAACCAGAAATCTCAATTGTTCTTAGAAAAGAAAAAAAACTCATAAGTTTAGGGAACAATATGAAGAAGAAGAGGATGAGGGGGAGAGAGAAGTATGAAGAAGAAATATAAGAGGGAATGATGAAGGATGAGAGAGAGAGAGAGAGAGAGAGAGAGAGAGAGAGAGAGAGAGAGAGAGAGAGAGAGAGAAACATAGGTAGGAATGAGAAGGAAGAGAGAAAGAAATAGTACAAATAAGGAGATAAGATTCATTTTTCAATTATAAAGGGGTAAAATTGTAGATCCAAAATTAATTAAAAAAATAACAATGACATTACTTGCAAATGTAGCGCATTACTTACAAATGTAGCGTTTGTGAGTCTATTGTGCATGTATACAGAGATTGTCCTATTGGTGTTCAGGTATGACAAAGTCTCAATGTTCCAAATTTTTTTCGATCCCGAGGATATCTTGGAATGGTTGCATAATAATTTTTCTTCAAAGGCTTTCTTCCTCGACCATTTTGATTAACGTCTTGTGTTTTGTGTCACCTACTAGTTCATTTGGCATTGGCGAAATAAGAGCATTTTTGAAAGTGATTTTGTCTTCCCAGTGATCCTAAAATTATTATTCTCACTTATTGTCATGAATGGTTGCAAGAAAATATTATTACTTCTCATAAGGCACCTAGAGCCCTTGCTTTTCTTAGTTGGGAACCCCACTACGGTTACCTTTGTGGATCTTCTTTTGGAGCTTGGGATGTTGGGTTTTGTGTTAAACTTAGACGTGGGGAGATTCTCAACGCTGAAATTTGGGGAATCTGTTTGGGATTACAACTTGCTTGGAATAAGGGGGTTTGGCGTCTTTTGGTGGAGTTTGATACCGCAATTGCTGTCCAGGTGATATCATATGGGCCATTGATAATCCTCCTATTGGTGAATTGATTCAAGCTTGCCGTTCAATGTCACTGCATGGTTGAAAATGTAATATTCATCATATTTATTGTGAAATGAATTTTATTGCTGATGAGTTAGCCAACCTAAGTCTCTCCCATCCCTTGAGTATGGTCTATTTTGAGCAAGCTCCATCTTCTTGTAAGCAATTATTATTGTCCGATATTTCTGGAGTCTCTCAACCTCACAACATTATTTTGTTGTTTCTCTATTGTCGGGCTTTTAGCTCCTCTATTTAACAAAAAAAAAAATCATTATATATTTGGATGGATGCAAATATTATTGGGGGTGAGTAAGCGTGTTTAGGATTGGATAAAAAACAACGCTTTCAATTTCCGTTCCAAAATTTCAAAATCAGATAACAATTTTCAAATTAAGAATTTTCAGCTTATTTGGAAATTTCGGAATCAAAGTAATCTCGTAAATTTCAGAACATAATTTAGAAACTCATATATTTGATAAGTTTTTTAATATTCTCTAACTTTTCTGTACATGCAATTTATTGTTCTTTCTTAATATTTGGTAAATGCTTATGTACAAATTCAATGAATAAAATGTATCCAAAACTAACAAGAAAATACAAAAATTGATTACAAAATATATAATTTGAAGTAATAAATATAAAAAATCGTAAGCAAAGGAATTCTCGAAACTTCCAATTGCATCCCAATTTCCATTCTAATTTTTCAGAATCTTCGGGTTCGGATTTAGAAATTTTACTGTTGGAATCAGAAACACCAGTCCAACTTACAAATCAAACTCGGGATCTCTTATGCAAGTTTAAATGTTCTTAACCAACTAAATTACAAACTCTTCCAATTGGTCAATGATTTTTTTTGTTATATTCAGAGAAATATAGTCAATATCAGAAACAAGGTACAATCTATCAAAATAAATTTATCTGTACATGCAAAACAAGCTAAAAGAAATTAAAAAGTATTCGGGAGGACATTTCCCATCTACAAGAAGACCTATTTTGTAACCTCTAATAAATTTAAGAGCAACAAAAATGAAAAAATGGCCTGTAACTACCATTACTAACTTGAAACAACGGATTGCATCGCATAGATTGCGGGGATGTGAGTTCTCTAAGGCTTCCTCAAGGCGGATGCTGCACCCATGACAACAGCCAAGACAATGCCAAGACCGGCTCCGAGGGAAGCACCCACGGCTGCAGATGTAAGAGAATTTGACTTGGCTTGAGAATCACGTCCCATAGCGATTCCACGCTCTCGTGCCACTTCCACCAAAAGCCCATCTCTTGCAAGTTCCTTCAAATCGAAAAACAATTTAGTACTCGTGAATAAATTTAGTAGATAAAATGGTATTTACACCACTGCCACACCTGTCCACAGAAGCATATATGACAGTGAAACAGTTGGCAACAAATTTTGAGAGCAGCAAAACCCCATTGCAAATTAGGAATGGTGAAAAGTTTGTTTACCTGCAATGCAGCTTCCTCGTGGCTACGAAGCACATGATGGACTACTTGACGAAGAGAGTTGACACCCTCCACTGGGAGAATGATTTCTTTCTTCTGGAAAGGCCGCTTAACAAAATTGATGGGAGCAAACAATAAGCTTTGAGCACTGATCCTTCCATCAGCATCTCCAGTGGTTGCACCCCATGACAAATTAGTGCTTGCAGCACTTGGCATGACGTATGGACAGGAATTGATAACGGCAGTGGTACTTGGAGATGCTTGGTATGACTGGACAACATCATCAATTGCTGCTTTCTGCTGATGAGCACTGACAGAAAATTTGTTTGTTACGGCAAGGACCCAAGGAATTCCCAGAGATTTCGCTTCATCCAGCAGAAGTGTAAGGGCTGGCTTTTGCTGCGATCCATTTGAGAGATTTAAGCTTGGTATTCTGTGAGACAGGTTATGAACAAGAACAATCAAGTCGGTCTTCCGATTCAAATCACGAATTCCTGTCCATAGTTCATCTCTGAAACGGGTGGCCTCCAAATTCAGCTCCTGCAACCCAAATTCGAGAAGTGTGACAATAAATCATGAGAAAGTATAAAATAAACCATGCCAACGGGGAAATTCTTTATCATGGAAGGAGAAAATACCTGTAAATTTACCCCTGCTGAATCACAGAAGTATAAACCCCGAGAAATACCTTCTTGGGCGTTAGTTTCTAGAAGCAGATTTTCAATATTGGTAATATTAGTAATTTTGCCTTGGGATAACATTGCCTTAAAAAGGGAAGTCTTTCCGGCTCCCTACATGGGCAATAAATCATGTGAGCAACTACATGAAATAAATATATAAGACAACTTTTTTTGACCGAGAATTAAAGCATCAATACCTCACAAGACCAAGTAATCGCACCCTGCGAGTTCTCACATGGACCTCTTTAGAGACTGGTAAAGTCACTGGTACAAAATATGAAAAATTCACTTAAGCCTTCATGACGTATGGACTTTTCCTCATCAAATGGTCCTGAAGTGTGCTCCCACTTTTCCTCATCAAATGGTCCTGAAGTGTGATCCCTATTAAGATTAGCTGTGTTGGAATCAATAGAAGAAAACACACGCATCATTGAATCTGCTTCCATCTGATATTTTGGTGGCTGTTTCAATGGAGCTCCACCTAAGACTCGCATTTTTTGTAGTTCCAGCTTTTCTCCATAATTTGAAGAATAAGTTGGGGTTGAAGGAAAGGATTCCACTGTTGTTGAACACCTAAATGATGATACAATGTTACACAAATATAAATAATTGACTGCATTGAGATTAGAGTCATCGGTGGAGGTTGTAATACAGTTGCACAGAACAGTACCAGTTACCATTCACTTGGGCATGCACAAGCGTACAAAGATGCAATCCAAAACCAGTGATATCAACTTTTAAGGGCTCTCCATTCTTCTCGCCGGGTATGCTATTCCATCCAAGAGGAGCAACTGAAGTAGCTGTCCGAATAACTGGAGACTCAACAATATGCCCAAGCTCCACAGTTCCTGCAACTGCAAGACCAAGCCACTGCTGTAGATGTGGAAACTGCTGTAGTTGCTCTATGGCTGGAAAAGGTGACGTATCGTCCTTCATGCACAGGTCATAGATTCTGTAAGGCAAAAAGGTCAAATCAAGTAAGAAATGGAAGAAAAGTTACAACAAGGTCTAAGTGAAGACATGAGATTGCATTTTCAAACTAGATGCCGAATCCCACATTCAATGCGGAAGAAATTCAAACTAGATGCCCTGACCAAACCACACTACACCTTGTCTCATTCCTGGATGTAAATTTACATCATTTGTTATATTCATGTGTTAAGTGCTTGGTCACTGACATAGGTCAAAATGTGATTTGATATTTGTAATGATTATTTTGTAAGGAAAGCAAGAAGATAAACAAAAGGCAAACATAACCTAGATGTATTAGTTAAACACAATCCTTCAAACCAGTGTCACACCACCAATATGGGAAGAAAAGATATTGCAGCAGGTCGACAAAAAATCGAATAAACAAGAGATAAATTTTCTAAGGTAGAATCATTTGTTACCTCTGGAACCGAAACCTATATGACTTCATTGAATGTGATTGAAATAGTTCCCTCAGTTCCGCAATAACAGATCTGACCTGAAAATGTCTTTGCCAGAAGAAAGCAAATAAAATGAGAAATTCCACACTACAACTAACATCTACGTGTGAACAAGAAAAACTGTAAGCAGAAACTAATGTATAATCCAAAAAAAGACAGAGAAAGAACTGATGGTCAAGCAAAGGAAGCACCTACCGATGTCAAATTTGAGTACTCCGCATCTGATAGTGACTTCACTGATGAATTTTCCAAGAGATATAGCTGGCACAACATAAAAGAATTTCAGATGAGTTCAGTTGACAACAGTAAAGGAAGTTACAAAAGCACCAAAATAAAAAAAAAATAAAAAAAATCATCATCATAGAGAGCAAATAATGCCTTCATGCACAACAAAAATCACCTTGAAGTACAAAAATAGTTGTTTCCCAACAGGAAAACAGAGAGATGCCAATTGCTAAATATGTTTTTATCCAGGCATAAAGGTTGGGTTACGACTTAGGAGACAACATCTTTAATGATTAAAAAAGTAGCTAGTGAGGACTGCCAATTAACTACTTTAGCATACAGCTCACTGACAAAGCCAATATGTACCAAAATCAGAAGCAATTCAACAATTGCAAAACAAATCTAAGATTAGGGATCCAGGGAGTGGAAGACACACAAAATATATACTAATAGCAACAGACTAACACACATTGCATAGTTTGTGCTACTTTACATCCTCACATGCATGCACCTCAGCTTGAAGAATATTAAATACGGGTTTCTAGTTTGTACTATAATACCTCCCCGAATGGTACATACGAAGGTAAATAAGGCACTCTGCGCCATGTGCTGTCATCCCCATTTTTTGTGGAGCTCTGCGCCATGTGCTGTCATCCCCATTTTTTGTGGAGCTTTTTCTAGCTGACTTCCCACTTGGTACCACATACGGTGGCTCTTTATCAGTGTCAGAGATAGGTTTAAGAGATATACCATCAGAACCTTCTTGTATTTCAAGAGACTGTGGTTCTACCATGTCATCATCTACTAGAGTTGCTGCTACATAATCTGACTGAGAAGATGCCTCGACAGAATAAACTTTCTTTCCTCTATACTTGTTGAATTGTCTTCTTATGCCTTCTAAGGGAACAAGCTTCGAGAGTCTCCACATAGAAGTCTGAACAGGTCCCAAACCCAGAACCAACCGTTTGCCATCATTCTCTTTTCCTTTTCCTACTGCTTCCTCACTTTTTAACATGGATATGCTGGTAGTTTCGGTTTCAGCCGGCACTGAACAAGATTGTGCACTATAATGATGAAAATAAGCAGGAGACAAGATGCGAGGCACCAGATCTTCTGGAATGCAGTAACTCTTGAAGTAATGTTGCCATCCCTCTCTACTAACATAACTACAACAGAAAAGGATAAAAAGAACATAGATTTAGTTATGTTGGTATAAGAGAATATCAACAAGAGTATTCTTCGCTAACTCTGAAATACCAAAAAAGACAGTTGAAAAAGGGCAAGAAACCTACTCTCTTAAAGCTGCATTCCCAACAGGGGGCTGGGAAAATGTGATACATTTGACTTTAACATTTCCATTCTCCTTTAATGAAGAAGAAGAAGCAGCAACCACCCTCAAAATAGAAAGGGTAGCTAACACTGCTACCTACATTATCCAAAGAGCGAAGATAGTATGAGGTTCCAACCAATAACAATAAAAGCAATCACTAACATTTCCGCTGTTAAGAAAGAAGTTAACGAACTTACTGCTCCACCAAGTGAGTGACCACATAAGACAAGGTTCCGGTTTTTCTTTTGAGCAAGCCTGTACAGCTCCAAAGCAGGTATCCCTTTAGCACGAGCCAAGAACCCCTAAGGGTAAATTTGAAAAGATAGCATGTTAGAAAATCATATGGACGCATCATACACAAGAGCGCGTGGTTTTGTGGGTGGGATGCAATCATACCTGATGTGCGGCAGGTTTAGCTTTATTTGCTTTTGATTCAAGTGGATTCCACAAATGTTCTCCATTTCCTTTTCGGTTTTCAGGTGGATTAGTAGTTTCAGTCCCATTAGTATCCTCCGCTACATCCTCATGAAATATAGCACCTTGAAATATGTTTGCATCTGTCATCACATCCCTTCGCAATATAAAAACAAACAAACAAGCAAATGAACAATCATTATCGCCGTAGCGAATAGAAATTCTCAACGAATTACATCAAACTCAAACGATTCTTACTTGTACTGCTTGGTTCCAGTGAAGGAAGCAAACAATGTATCACCAGATTCCGCCAACAAATAACTGCAAACATCAAAACGCAAAGCAGCTAAACAATCGACCCCAAGACTCAAACTTTCAAATCGAACACTCCAAGTAACCGAAAAAATCAAACACCTGTGCGGAACGTGATCCGAAGAGGGCTGAACACGCTCGAGAGAAACAATTTGTCCTCCGAAGTAGGACTTAAACTTATTCACAGCCCAAACCAAGTCCGAAGCAGGTCTCTATCCGAAGCATTTGATCACAACACTAAGAATGCACACAAGTTGTTTGATCAAATGCGCGAGAGAGAGATAGAAAGCTTTTCACTTTTTTTTCACTGACCTTGTAAACGCACTCGGAGAGGACCATGCAGCAGAGAATTTCCCGGAGGTCAGAGACGGAGTCGACCTTGACGGCGGCGCAGAGATCGTGGAGCTGCTTGCGGCGGCCCTCGTACTCCTGGTGGATCCTGCGGCGGTGCTCCCGGTCGCCCTCCTTGAAAAGCAATGGCCACTTCATCCTCCACTGCAGTGGGCACCAAGAGACCTTGAGGAGCTTGGCGTGCTGCTCCTTGATCCATGCCTCCACTTTGCTTTGTATCGACTCCATTCACGATTTGCGAAGACGAAGATCACGAAGCGCAGCGACAGGGATTGTTCGTGTTCGTCTGTCTGAGTTTTTTTTATTATTATTTTTTGTTACAAAAATTTAGAGATTGGGATAGAAGAGAGGGAATCCTGTGCAGATGTGAAGGCATATACGGCAATGCCAGCGAATCAGAAAACATCGAATTACTTGGTTTTCATTGACATTTTTACAATGAATCGTTAATTCATCTACGGTAAAAAAATTACCTAACTTTCATAAACCGAGTTCATCGTTTTATTATTTGGTTCAACGTTTAATGGTTTAATGTGAATTACTCTTTTCAGAAGATTAGCACATTCTAATAATCAAGTATTGAAGACTTAAACGATCTCAAAAATAAACCGTTGGTCATCATACAACTTTGCAAAAGGGTAATTAAAAAAGAGAATGTAGAAATGAAAGGTACAAACAACAAATGGTTAGCAAACATTTCTAAACTTACACTAGATATACTTTCACTTTATGCGTTATTTAAGTATAATTCACACTTTGATCAAGTTTGTGCTCCTTTTTTCTTTTGGGTCAAATGGTAAAATACATTACCAACGGACAAAAAGGCCCAGAGTCAGCTTGGAGCCTTGTTACAAAAGTAACCCAAATAGTCTTGCCTAGGACTCAAGATTTTGATATATTGTCGTGGTGAAAGACAAATGAGATTAAATATCTTATTTTGCATCAGATAGCTCGAGATATTTTAGCTATTCCTGTATCTACAGTAGCTTCAGAGTCTTCATTTAGTACTGATGGTAGGATTATTAGTCCACAACGTAGCTGACTTCATTCAAGCACAGTGGAAGCACTCATGTGTTCTCGAGACTGGTTGTGGGGGTCAGATGCGAGGTACTTACTGTAAAATTTCATATAAATTATGTATATGTTCAAATTTACTATTTTAGCCTAATTTTAATTTTTACTATTGAACCAGATTCAAACTCTACTCGTATTAAAGATTCTTCATTTGGTGATGATACTGATGTGAATATGGTAAAAACTATGTTTATTTTTTTTTTTTTTTACTTTGGAGTTATTGGTGATACTCATTCAATTTATGCATACTAATTCAATTATACATTTCTTTTGTAGGCCTCTTTTGGTGACAACGAGTCGATTATACTTTGTGATTGAACGTGTTCGAAACACAGATTTCAATTAGATGAAATTATATGAAATAATAGAGGGTTAACTCAGTTTTGTGATGAATTAGATGAAATTTGGTTGGTTTCGTATGGTTGTTTTTTGTTATCAGAAACATAGATTTATGAGTTGTTGCTAAAGGGTCTGTTGCTTTAAAAATCATTCGGGAATTCAGAAATAAAAAAGCTGTACTTTTACTCTTCCTTTAGGCTCAATTTTCTCAGGTTCCTGAACTTCCATAATTTATTGGTTGCTATAAAGAAAAATATCGTTCGTAAACTATTATTTCAATTATTGGAATTATATGAGGATTTAAATGATTAAAATAGGGAAATGTATGCTAAAATGTACTTATAACGGTGTTTAATTGTCAGAAAATGAAAATTATGACAAAATTTTCTTTTGTAATTTTCAAATTGTTAAAAAAAATAATGTAGATGGGCGAAAAAAAAGGTAAATGGGTAAAAAAAGGATAAACGGGTGAAAAAACGGATAAACGGGTAAATAGTTATGGTTATAGTTAAATGGGTAAATGGATACACGGTTATGGGTATAACCGTTTATGTAATTACCCAACGGGTAAACGGTTATGCGGGTATGAACATAAACGGTTATGGGTAAATAATCGCTGTTACTCGCCCGCCATAACCGTTGCCCATCCCTAGCCTTGTACACTGAAAACACACAAAAAAGCTTAAACTGTAAAGTCTAGCACATAGAAAACATAAAACAAAAAAACAAAAAACCCTTAAGAAGCTAAAATCCCAGTAGCTGCTAACGCTGCAAAACGCCCCCCCCCCCCCACCCCCCTCCCCCCAAATGCCTGTGATCACACTAGCACGAACCCCATAGTTGAGTAAGAGAAAGGTTACATCATCCTCGAAGGACAACCACAACAACAATAGCCGCCACGAAACAAAGAAAGTCTGCAAGAAGAAAGATCCCATGAGCCATAGCTCCAACGAGGGCAAACACCTAGAAGGGCGGACAAGGGCGAGTAAAGGTGGTGTTGCGAACATCTGAACCAAAGCTCTACACACCGTCCTACTATAAATCCGAGATAAATCGCGAAGAACACAGACGTTAGTCGATAGTATGACTCTCAGTAGAGGAGAGAGGTTCTTTAACAAAGGAGAGAGAGGCCATAAGACCACTTGTATCCATTCAATTTAAAATGGGCCTGCAGGTTCATTACATATTAAACTGGACAGGATTGATAGGCCTATCTTTTGGGCCTAAAATTCACCATCTCATTATCCTATAAATAGCATTTTCGGCTTGAAGTATAAAATGTTGCCTCCAAAATGCACATTCAAAACTTTTGAAGTTTTAGCTCTAACATTGATGTAACCAATTTTATTCATGAAATTGGTTGGGTTGGTATTAGGCTGGATACATCAAAATAATTCTTTTAGACAAATCCACGTTATAGCATGTCCATTATACGCTTTAGCTCAAATTTTATTCATGAAATTGGTTAGGTTGGTATTAGGCTGGATACATCAAAATAATTCTTTTAGACAAATCCACGTTATAGCATGTCCATTATACGCTTTAGCTCAAATCTTCCATCTCTTTAAATCATTTTTAATACAACGAAATATCTACACTAATTTTTGATCCAACGAAATATCTATACTAAGGGATGGGAGAATAAATTGGTTGAGAACTTGTTATTCTTGAGATTCAAACTTAAGATCTCACTTACAAGTAAAGATGAATAACACTATACCGTAGTACTAAGTAACAAATCTTCCACCTCTTAGTGTAAATATATCATGATGAAAGTGAATCCCACATTAAGGGAATGAGGGACCTTACACGGGTTTATAAGTAAGTTGTGCTACTCCCTATATTGCCGATTGGTTTTATGGTGGAACCTCAACTTTCTACCTGGTATCAGAGCAAATTGTCTCATGTGTCAAGCTTAACAGTCACATGTACTCCACGTCATCCGATTTGTGTTGTCCATGTGCTAAGCTTGAAGATTCGCTACACGTACGAGGGCATGTTGAAAGTGAATCCTATGTCGGGGAAAGAATGGATATTGCATGTACTCTTAAGTAATTAGGCTACTTCTCATGTTGCCAATTGGTTTTATGGTGGAATCCTAACTTTTTTCATAGTATCAATGCAGGTTGTCCCACATATGAAGCCCAACGGCCACACGTGCTCCATGTCACCCTGTTTGTGTTGTCCACATCTTTGGCTTGAAAATTCAACATGTGTTTGGCTTCAAAATTCGCCACTCATGAAGGGACGTGTTAAGATTAAATCTCACATTAATAAAAGAATGGATCTTTCATGAACTTATAAGTAAGTTGAACTACTCTTCATGTAGCTAATTAATTTATAATAAAACCTCAACATTTTTTAGTTGTAAACTTATCAAAGTGTCTGAAGTATATTGGACTAGCTAATACATAGACATGGTTTTAGGTGGATTCGATCAACCAAGTTTATATTAATATTAAATTACACTTCTTACCAAAGTTTAGGTGAATTACACATCTCTTGAAATTTCAGGTGCGAGAGTTCTCCAGCCCACTCCAAATTAGATTTTTTTTTTTACCAAATAGCCAAAGCTCTATCCCACTCTGCTCCCAAACTAGATGCCTTAGTCTATCTCAGTTTTAGTGATTGCATCCATGTGAAATAAACCCGATAGTTTCTCTAATTAAAGGTGATTGCATATTGCAATTAGGTCAGTTAATTAGGATAATGCGTTTGGTTTTTTACACTTGAGTTCAAATCCTTGTCCACATAAATTAGAATCAAATCCTTGTCCACATAAAATAGAATGGTTTTAACCATGGTTGTGTAAAACAAAATATGACTAATCAAATTTGTGTAAGCTGAGAAACTTCATTAAGGCTTTGTATGGTTCTTTGCCAGCCGTGAAGTTAAGGGCAAAGGTTGTTTTTACATAGGAATGATGTGCCAAATTGCATGCGCTAGCATGTGGCATGGGGTGAAGGAGATGGATACACACTCTGTATCATTTAGTGGCACAACAACACCAGCAAGTCCTAATCTTCTTTTTTTTTTTGAACAAATACAAGTCCTAATCTTAGGAAGCCCCACCCACTGAGCAATTTGTGAAGGGACCATTGTATCCAAAAGAAATTTTCGCTGGCCTCGTCTTAAAGAGATTTTTCCGAGCACTCATTTTAAATAGAACCTGCTTTACATTTAGAGAATTTGTTCTGCGACAAAAGATATTTTCAATCACTATAACCTGTGATAAAAACAATTTTGAATAATAAAATAGCGTAGTAACCTTTTTCTTAACAAAAACCTAACTCGCTCCATTAATTACACACAACAATTTAATCAAAATATTGAGAAGAGGTTTATCAATATGGTGCTCGGAAGATTACATACAATCATATAATTAAGGGAACTTTAACGAAAAGCACCTGGTACTGTTCACTTTAACGAAAAACCACATTTTTACACTAAAAAGTCAATCCTGGTACTATTCACTTTACCCTTTATTTTGTCCTTATCATTAAAACTCAAAGTTTTCAAGCTATTTTCATTAGTTTATAATGACACATTAGATTTTCTCATCTGCTCAAGTAATGTCATTTAACTTTTTTTCGTACATAAACTCCATTTAAATGACAAATTGAGATGGAGTACAAGTTCAACAATCCGTCATCACATATTCATATCGAAGCAAGAACCAGAATGCAAAAGGTATTTGCCTACACTACACATACTTATTTATACTAATATTTAGATACATAAAATCTATTCAATACATATTAAAAATATCGATATTTTTCAGGTAAGCAGCTCACTGACACCTGAAGGAAGTTGTTTAGTTTTTATTTTTATTTTTAAACTAAGCTTTTTATTATTTATATTTATAATCATCATTGCATCACTATGACATGGCTTTACAAAAT